ACAGGAATTTGGGGAGGACGCATCGGCAAATTGTTTTCTTTCTTTTTGTTTTCTCTAGTAATGCCAACATTCAGGACGGCATAAGGTATAAAATTGAAGCATTGATCTTCTTCTTCAAATACAGGATAGCTTCAATATTAAAATTAACATATAAATTTCGCATCCATCTTATTTTCAACTCACTCCTGCTGAGTAAATGCACATAAAAAGAATGAATCACTGAAACAGTATGCACAGAAATCAAGTTCATTTTTCAAGAGTGTCACTTCAAATGCAGTCACTGCCTGTTTTCTGGGCACCAACAAATGTTCCCAAGATGCCTCCCAACCAGCCCTTCCTGCTTGCGTGAGCCAGAGGGCAAGCCAGGAGCCCCAGAAGATGAATTCCTAAAGAGGAACCAGCAAAATAGATGATCACCACCCAAGTTTCCACTTTTCTCTGGTTTGATCTCTTTTTACAATTTTTTTTTTTTTGCTTTTTGGGTCACACCCGGCAATGCTCAGGGGTTACTCCTGGCTCATGCACTCAGGAATTACTCCTGGCGGTGCTCGGGGGGCCATATGGGATGCTGGGAATCGAACCAGGGTCGGCCATGTTGGCTGCGTGCAAGGCAAACGCCCTACCCGCTGTGCTATCGCTCCAGCCCCCTTTACAAATTTTAAATGCTCTTTGGGCCTCTTAGAAATCAGCCGCTTAGTAGTAAGCACTGGAGCCCGGATATCCTTCTACTCGCTCCAGATTACTTCCCACATGAGTCATTCAAACCACAGCTCTGCCGGGCACCCGTCTTGCTTCTCAATAAACAAGAGATTGATCTCATCATCCAAAGTACTGATGCTTCATAGCCAGAGATCACCACAAACCTGTTTGAAGGGTTCTTAGCTAAGAATCGACCTAAAAAGGTTGTCCAGGAGGTGGAGACAGGTCATTTCTAGTGCAGCAAGGGAGAAAATGGAAACTAGGGCAGCAGCTATCAAAACAGGCTGAAAATATCCCCCCAAAAATCTAACGGTGGAACTATTGCATGGTCCAGAGATTCCATTTCTGGGTGTACATTTGAAGCAACTGAAATCACACTCTTAACGAGACGTCTCTAGCTGCCGGGCTTACCGCTGCATTATCGATAATGTCACTATTAGTCACCAACACCAACCAGAGGTTTCCAGACATGAGTCTTTCTGCACCCAAGTGTGCACTCAACTTAGTCATTGGTTCCAGAGTCATTTGGACAAGACCTAAGGCATGGACCATGGCTACTCATATGTTGAACTGACGTCATCATAGAAGAGCCAATGGCAATAGAGGGAAAAGTTGGAAATCATCATAGACTCCCCCTGCCCCTTTTGGGGGGCTCCCAAGTAGGCCTCTGAGAAGGCCCCGGGCCCCCACTGTGGCTCACCCATCTTGCCAGAGGTTCAAAGCAAGAGTCCAAGGATGAGGGACCACTGAGGCCCTGACGACCTGGGGATCTGGGGCCACCAGCAGGCTATGGTGGCAAGAAGCCATCCCTCACTCTGTTACTCAGCATCAAGTTAAGAACGATGCAGTGATGAGGGAGGGTGTCCCCAAGTCTTTCGTTACTCTTATTTATTATTATACCTGGAGCTTCTTCCAGATCACTGCTTAAGTAGCACGCCCAGCAGTGCTCAGCGTATCATGAGGTGGGGGGGGGATCAACCATAGGTTCTACAGGCAAAGCACACAGTACCACCGAAAGTACTCCCTGGTCCATCCCAACTCTTCCCCCCACCCACCCCACCACACACACATTTTGTTTTAATGGAGGCAAGGAGAGTTACAAAGTTATTCATAACTGAGCTGCAGGTGTACAATCAGTATGCCACCACCAATGTCAACTCCCCTCTCCCCCACCTCCCCGCACCTGTGTCCCAGGTTCCCACCAGCCTGCCTCCCTGGTTATGTTGTTGTGTCGTTGGGATCTTCCGCTTTCAGATTTGCTGGGTCTGTGGTTCAGGTGTATAGAGATAACCTACCTCCAGAGTATCAGTGTCCGGACCTCCTGTCTGCCTCTTCTCACCCTGCCCCCATGTCACATGGTCCCCCCAACATCACTGGTATAATGCTAAGGGTTCCAGCGCACTACTGGGGGGTGGCCCAAGTGACCCCCAGCACCACAGGGCCCAAGCAGAGAAGTTTCTGATCAGAGAGATGGTGCGACTGGTTAAGTGCGTGTTTTGCATGCAGCAATGAGGCCTGGGTTCAATCCCCAACATCACTGGGAACCCCAGAGCCTTTAGCCCCGAAGTATCACCAGGTGCGTGCCCAACACAAAACAGGAAGCTTCTTATTATTGCAAATATCTCTTTTTCTCCAGGGACCATACAAGGAGGGTGGGCAGCTGTCATCTCTGGCCAAGAGAATCGGCTCCTGTCGCCTCCTGGACTAAACAACTCCAATGAGACGACTTCTACAGAGATTCCTGCATCCCTGTCCAGACCGATTTTTATTTACTGGCTTTTTTTTTTAATTCACTCACTTTCCCAGTCACATTCCCCATTTTTTTCCCTCTCATCTTAGCACTTATCTTTCTTCTGGAGAAACTCTGAAGAAAAGAAAGAGGTTGACTCACGGGCACCACTGAATATTGCTGTTGGGAATTTCACTTTTAAAAATATCTGAGCCTAGCTGGAAGTGGTCACTCTTGGGCAAGAACCGGGTGCTGAAAGTAGGTAAAATGATAGGCATGATACCCTTTCAGTAACGGTATTGCAAACCACGGTGCCTAAAAGGAAAAGAGGGAAGAGAGAAAGAGAGAGAGAGAGAGAGAGAGAGAGAGAGAGAGAGAGAGAGAATATTAGAATAAAAGTGTCCTCCACAGAGGCAGGCTATGGGTGGGGGCTGAGGAAAACTGGTGGGATATGTACACTGGTGAGGCAATGGGTGCTGAACAATGTGACTGGAACTCAATCATGCACAACTTGTGTCTCACCATAATTCACTTGATCACTTGACTTCCCGTTAACCGTCGATTTGTTCGAGCGGGCGCCAGTAACGAACCACAACTCAATATTTTTTAATTAATGAAAGATATCTGAGCAACATTGCACAGGAAGTAGTGTTTGCCATGCATGCTACCAATCCTGGTTTGATCCCCAGCATCCCATATATTCCCTGAGCTGCACCAGGCGTGATCAGTGAGCACAGAGCCAGGAGGAAGCCCTGAGCACAGCTCGGTGTGGCCCCAAATTATATTATACACACACGCATATATATTTATATATACCCACATATGTACATATACATATATGTACACAAATACATATAAACATACATTTATGTATATATATATGCATACATATACACATACATGTATGAACCAGGAAGTTGGACATATTCAGCACCCAGAATGCTTTTAAAATGAAGGGGGGGGCTGGAGAGATAGCACAGTGGGTAGGGCGTTTGCCTTGCACGCGGCCGACCCGGGTTCGATTCCCAGCATCCCATATGGTCCCCTGAGCACCGCCAGGAAGTAACTCCTGAGTGCAGAGCCAGGAGTAACTCCTGTGCATCGCCAGGTGTGACCCAAAAAGCAAAAAAAAAAAAAGAAGGGGGGTCCTGGTTTTCAATGTTTTGTGGAGTTCCTCCATCAAACCAGATCAGCGTGGCCGCCAAAAGGACTTTGTGTTTTCTGAAGGCAAAGCTGTGACCCTCACACACAGGAGTCGATTCCTCTGCGTCAGGAGGGCTTAGTGCTTCCTGCCTTCCCACACTCCTACTGTTTCTTTTGACTTTGTGTTTGACTGCAAGTCTCTATTGTGATCTCTGCTTATCTTGGACTCCCTGGTAGGTGACTTGCACAATGGAATACAATGACTAGGACATAGCAGACACTCACTTAAATACATACTGAAGAAACAAACGAATGGATGAGGGGGCCGAATTCACTCCACCCTTCTCCCTCTGGGAGGAAAATGAAAAAGAAATTCTTCCTTTTTCTCAGTACACACATCCCTTACCCCTCCCCCCCCAAAAAAAACAACTTGGCCCTTCCTATTTCTCATTCACTGACACTGTGTCCTGATCATGTAAGCGGCTTCACGTCAGAGATCTTCCTTCCACCAGCACAAACGACATTAACCAAGATCATCTCCTTAGTTTATTTTTTCTAGAGTCCTTAGCATGCTACATTAACCTGACAAAGCTTAATCTTGTGTTCGTTTCACAACACGTTTCATGCAGTTCACCGCTGTGATTGGTTTTACATTGACATTACACATGTTTCCAGTCAGCCATGTGAAAAGAATAATTCTTAATGGAGTTTCTCTCGGAAAAAAATCGTCCACGCTGAAATAAGCACGTGAGCAGTTCGCTCTAGGACCGTCTCTCTTTACAATGCAAGAAGGATCGTTAGCGTGAGAATATAACACCCCCCCATTTATAGTCCAATTGCCATCAACCTGGTCCTTTTGGGTTTGCATCTCCTGAGAAATCCTCTGGGGCAAAACTGCATTCAAGTATACTAGTATTCTTTTTTTTTTTTTCCCCTAGAACATTCCAGGTTGATTTTAGGACCAAGGCTGGCCTTCAGCTTGACATCTCCCAAATAAATCTTCTGTGGACCCAAACTCATCTTAGCATGAGACAGACACTCTTTGACAAAAAAAATAATAGTAATAACAAAAAACCAAAAAAACCAACCCAAATATCCTAAGAATAATCAGCACTAAAGCCACAGAGCTATTTGGCATTTTTCCTGTGAAGTGCAAGAAATTAAAATAAGTTATGTTTGTACCGGATCAAGCAAGTCCCTTTGTTCAACAGAAGGAAAGGGGTGGGATGGGGTGAGGTGGGGTGGGGTGGGGGTGACCCACAGGAGATGGAACCTCCCGGGGTGGGGGGCAGGTGGGCAGGCTGGGGGCCAGGAAACCACGCGGTCCCCTGGCCCCGGCCACCAAACCACGCAGTCCCCTGGCTCTGGCCACCAAACCACACAGTCCCCCGGCCCCACCCAGCCACCCACCCACCCACCGGCGCCCACTCTAGGAGGAGGAGGAGTTGAGGACCCTCGAGTCCGAGGAGTCGGAGCGCTCGTCGTAGTCCTCCTCGCCGCTGTACAGGGCCTGCTGCTTGGACACCAAGGGGCAGCCGTCCTCGGGGAGGGCCAGGCGGGGGTCGTCGGGCGCGCGCGCGGGCAGCACGGGCGCGCCCCTGAAGACCCCGCCGGCGCCGGCGCCCGCCGAGCTGCTGCTGGGGAAGGGGCCCAGCTGGTACTGGGAGCGCAGCTGGTACTGCTGCTGCAGGGTCATGGTGTTCCAGAGGGTGACGTCGCTGGGCAGGAAGGGGCTGGCCGGGCTCCTGGAGGCCAGCGAGCTGCGCAGCACCAGCGGGTAGCGGGGCGGCTGCGGGAACGGGGCCTGCAGGGGCACGGCCAGGGGCCCGCCGGGGACCGCGTGGTGGTGGCCGGGGTCGCCGCCGCCGCCGCCGCCGCCGAGCCGCAGGGAGTCGGGCACGCGGAAGGCCGAGCCCACCGACCACTTGGACGCGGGCAGCGGGTAGGGGCCGAGCGCGTGTTCCAGGAGGTGCCCGTTGGCGGGCAGCAGCAGGGCCTCGGGCTCGGGCGCGGCGGCCGCGCGGTCCGCGGCGGGCAGCGAGGAGCGGCTGGACAGCAGCACCTCGACGGCGCCCACCAGGTCCCCGCCGCAGCCCCGGAGGATGAGCTCCAGCACGGTGGGCTTCTGCGCCGGGAAGATCTTCTTGAGCACCTCCAGGGGCGGCCGGTTGGCCTTGAGGCCCAGGGGCAGCGCCACGGTGCCCGACGGGCCCTCGATCAGCAGCTGGCTCTGCTCCCCGGGGTGCGCGCCGGGGCTGTCGGCGCGGCGACCCCCCTCGGCGGCGGCGGCGGCGCTGCCCCCGAGCTTGTGGTGCACGGCCACGGCCACCCCCACCCCCGCCGCGTAGCCGCCCTCGTCCACCGCCACGACCACCTCGGGGCTCTCGGGCCCCAGGCAGCCCTTGCTCTTGGTCCCCGCGGCGGCGGCGGCGGCATCCGGGGAGCCGCGCGGATGCTGGTGCTGATGCTGCTGCTCCGGATGCTGGTGCTGATGCTGCTGCTCCGGGTCCTCGTCGCCCAAGGTCTCCGCGGGGTCGCCGGCCGCCAGCCGCGGCTCCTCCTCAGGCAGGTCTGAAACGCAGAGGACAGCGGGGCGGGGGTCAATCCTGCTGGCCCCTGCACGCGGGAAAAGGACCAGACGCGCGCGCCCCCCCCCCCCCCCACACACACACTCCCACCAACCACCACCACCACCACCACCACCCCGGGAGCCCTGCAGGGGCGGGAAGCGCTGATTGATTGATTGATTGATTGATCGATCGACCGGGACTGCATCACCGGCGCACTGCCCAGCCGCCAAGGAAACCCAAAGGATGGCAGGCTCTGTGAAGGGGCGACACACACACACACACAGGTGCATTCACGCACATAGGCAAACACAGTCGCTCTCCTGTACTTGGCTGGCTCCACGCCTGTGCATTCGTGCATAGGCACACACACACACACACACAACACTCCCTCTCATATGCTTAACTCACACAACATGCCCATGCTCACACACATATGCAAACACAGTCTCTCTCACATACTTGACTCCCAGGCAACACACACGCACACACCTGTGCATTCATACATATGCACACACACACACACACACACACAACACTCCCCCTCAAATACTTAACTCACACAACATACCCATGCTCACACACACATATGCAAACACAGTCGCTCTCACATACTTGACTCCATACCTGTGCATTTATACATATGCACACACATACACCACACACACAACACTCCCTCTCATATGCTTAACTCACACAACATACCCGTTGCTCATACACTTACTCCCACACACTCATATGCACACGCTTGTTCACACATACACACACTCCCTCACACACACAGCACATACACACCACACACACGCGCTCACACACATACAAACTCACACATTCCCTCTCACACAGCCGGCTGGCAAGCATACACACCACACACGTGTGTGTACTCACTATATTCACCCACACAGCATATGCATAGACTCACACAAATACTTGCTCACACTGACACACACACACTTTTTCCTTCTCATACACATAACTGCACACACATACACACACACTCACACACTCACACACACCACACCCCTATCTGAAAATAAAAAGCCAGACATGGAGTGACTTCCTAGAACGATACACCCAGAGAAGTTCGCCTTGAACACACCGGGGCTCCAGGTCTACAAGCACTGCTGACAGCCACAGTTCTCTCCTAGGGGTGGGGCCCAGTGGGGGTCAGGAGATACAGCGGAGGGACAAGGGTGGGCTTGTCTTGTGACTCCTCCTGCAAATGCAGTGCCTGGGTATGATCAAGGGACACAGTTGCTGATGCATGATCCTAACCCTACCGGGAGTTTTAATGTTCGAAACACATTTCTCTGTGTTAAATGTGTCCTGTGAACTAGTCATCCTATGCTCTCCTTGATCACTGTGCAGATGAACTAACTAGCTGACATCATTCCTAAAGATAAAGAAGGGAAGCCTCCGTACATTGCTGTCTTTCTTAGAAAACCACTAAGTGTGTGTGTGTGTGTGTGTGTGTGTGAGAGAGAGAGAGAGAGAGAGAGAGAGAGGTGTGGAGTAACTGCATGTGAGGCCCTGCGTTCAATTCCTAGCACTGCTTAAAGACAGGAAAAATTCCACCGAGGGACTGCCTATCCTTTGGCAAACAAAGCCAGCTGAAAAGGTGGAAGAAAGGGCTGGAAGATTAGGAAGATGCATCAAGGAACAGGGGCCTTCACTGACCACTGACCCTTCACTGACCCAGAACTCCAGAGTCTGGGGGCTCTCCCACACTGTCCTAAAGTTCACAGGAAAGACTTCAGGTAACTTCCTGAATTCTATAAAAACCAGTCTCCAGGGGCTGGAGCAATAGCACAGCGGGTAGGGTGTTTGCCTTGCAAGCGGCTAACCGGCCAACCGGGTTCGATTCCAAGCATCCCATCTGGTCCCCCTGAGCAATGCCAGGAGTAATTCCTGAGTAGATGAGTCAGAAATAACCCCTGTGCATCGCCGGGTGTGACCCAAAAAGAAAAAGAAAAAGAAAAAAAGAAAAGCCTTCAAATGAAGCAGAGATCTTCTGTGAAGTATGCCAACGGCACAGTGAACACTTTGCCCTCAAACATGACTCCAAAGGGCCTAATGTGTCAGGCAAGAGAGAGTGGATAACGCAGTTTGGCTTGCAGTGAGAGATTCTAACAGAGCTTGAGAATCAGGGAACACGGTCTTCATGAACCAAGTATAGGCAAGCGAGCTTTTATGCCTTGTAAAACATATCCCGGCTGTGTCGACACAAAGCCAATGTCGCTGACATGAGATGAGAACTATTAATGACCCAGTTGTCGGACTGTAAATGATCAGGTCACCTGCGTTTTTCTCCCTGAATAGATTCATTGGCGCCCTCTCTGTGGGTTCACCTGATTATGTGTAGATAGTTCCTGGTGAAATTTCATCAAAGCAGCTGCTAAAACCCACCTCCTTCTATCTCTGGTTGTTTTTCCTTAAAAGCTTTACACAAAGGCCCATTTGTGACCTTCTTTTTTTTTTCTTCTAATATGGGATAGAGCTGAACGACAGTTGAAAGACAAAACTTTGTTTCTTTGCAGGGCAATAAAATATGTGGCAAACATAAAGAAATACTTTGAAAAATATTCTTAAGCTCCATAAGTACATCTTTCAGTCATAACTATACTAATCCATCCTTATCCCCAATTGGTATCTTAGGGAAACTGCTGCTTTTTCTGATACAAAATCTAAGGTTTCCGTGTGGGGAATCATTTGTAGCTCACACATTCTTAAGCCATCTTGGCTTTCTATGACAACTCGGGAATACACAAAAGACCTATTTTAGTATGAGAAATCTGACCTATTCTCCCCTGGAACTTTCGAGGGATGGGGATATAGCTTTCCTTCCCTGATTTCACTTCCCTTGATCAAAAACAGCATTAAAAATACATTTGAGGGGCTGGAGCGATAGCACAGCGGGTAGGGCGTTTGCCTTGCACGCAGCCAACATGGCCAACACAGGTTCAATTCCCAGCATCCCATATGGTCCCCCGAGCACCGCCAGGAGTGATTCCTGAGTGCGTGAGCCAGGAGTAAGCCCTGAGCATCACTGGGTATAACCCAAAAAGAAAAAAAAAACAAAAAAACAAAAAAAAAATACATTTGAACATTGACATTCCAGTAAGCCAGAACTACCTTGATTCTCCCAACTCGTCACCCATGCAAGCTTCCTGCTCTTCCTCTAACATGAAACAACTGGTGAAAAACAACAACAATAGGTCTTTGCTCAACACCGACTGGAACTGGCCACTGTCCTCTGGCCCCTGGCTCACCAAAGCTTGGGCAAATAAGCAAAATATTCTGCCTGGCTAAATATGAACATAAAACAATGTTTCTAACACCAGGCACTTCTAGGCAGTTTCCCTATTTCTTTAATTTTTGCTTTCACTGCCTATTATTGTCAGTATTCAGTACCGGTATCCCCATGACTAGAAAGAGTCTGGTGGGTGGGCATCATCAGGAAGTATAGGACTGCCCCTGACTTGGAAAGATGTTCTTTAGCTTGGGAGACAAGGCCTCTGGACAGGGAGACATGCCAACGGAGCCAGGCAGAATTTGCCCAACATCAAACATGAAACGTTTGGTACACTCATGGTCATAATAGCCACGATGGCCAAAAGGTGGCAACCTATCAGTGGATGAGTGGGTAAACAAGCATGCCGTCTGCATAAAATGGGGTATGATTCAGCCTCACTAAGAAACCAAGTGCTAACTTACGCCATGAGAAAGCGCACCTTAAAAACATGCTAAATGAAACAAGTCACGGTCACGGTCCTCCCATTATTCATCGATTTGCTCGAGCGGGCCCAGTAACATCTCCATTGTGAGACTTTGTTGTTACTGTGTTTGGCATATCAAATACGTCATGGGGAGCTTGCCAGGCTCTGCCGTGCGGGCGAGATACTCTCGGTAGCTTGCCGGGCTCTCTGAGAGGGGTGGAGGAATCGAACCCGGCTCGGCTGGGCCGGCTGCACGCAAGGTGAACGCCCTACCGCTGTGCTATCGCTCAGGGTCTGCTTATATCCCATACCTAGAACTGGCAAATTCAAAACGACAAAGTCGCTAGGAAAGGGAGGGAAGGGGGAAATAATTGTCAAATGGAACAGTTTCAGTTCAGAGGGACAAAAAGTTCTGGAAATGGGAGTGAAGACAGCACACTTCAATGAACTTATGGCCACTGACCAGAACCGCTATGACAGGACTAAAATATTAAATTCTGTGGGCCAGAGAGCACAGTGAGGAAGCTGCTTGCCTTGAACGCTGCTGACCTGGATTTGATCAGACTCAGTACCACGTATGATCTCTCAAACCCTACCAGAAGTGACCCCTGAGTACAGAGTTGGGAGTAAGTCCTGAATATCATCAGCTGTGGGCGCCTCCCCCCCAAACAAAAACAAATCAGCTACAAAGTAGTAAATTTGATAAGCATATCTGACCGCATTTTAAACAAGGGGGAGAATAAACATATGACACAGTATCACATTCATATAAAGAAGAGTGCTTTTAGTGGGGTCCACATTCTGCCATATTTGGGGCTATTCCCAGCTTAGTGCTTTGGGGGTCACTCCGGGTGGTGTTGGGGGACCGGAGAATGGGAGCCTAGACTCCTGCATGCAAAGCATGTAGTCAGCTATTAAGGCCTGTCATTGCTTTTTCTTTTTTTTTTTTTAAGCAAAAGAAACTGGCCTTTCTAGAAAAAGAAGGGTTATATAAAAATTCAACTAAAAAAGGTCAAAACCTAACTTTAAAAAAAATAAATAAAATGTGTAAATGTAAAAATTCACAATCACAGTCACAGTCCTCCCGTTGTTCATCGATTTGCTCGAGCGGGCCCAGTAACGTCTCCATCGTGAGACTTATTGTTACTGTGTTTGGCATATTGAATACGTCGCAGGTAGCTTGCCAAGCTCTGCCGTGCAAGCGAGATACTCTCGGTAGCTTGCCAGGCTCTCCGAGAGGGGCGGAGGAATCGAACTCGGGTGGGCCATTTTGGCTGCGTGCAAGGCA